CAATAACTCATGTATATCAAGTAGGATTGAAAATTAATTTTTATTAAGCAAAAATACTATAGAACATGTGTGCGATACTTAAATAAAGTTTGAAATACAAACTTTATACATGACAATGCAACTCTTGCTGTAGAAAAATAATATGACTAGCTAATGGCTTGGAAATAGAACTTGAAGTCAAATTCAGCTCAAGACTTGGAAGAGATTTTAAGTTTGAAAACAGTGTGACAATGCCATGCTGGTGAATTAATTCTAGAAAAATATAGCTAAAGGTCAATGCCGTGTTTTTGCTCCTTATGGTAGACTGATGTACCCTCGTTAGCATGGTCGAGGTAGATTAGCTTCAATTGTGTTAGGTTAGTTTTTAGACACGCTTTAAAATGCGTGCACGCCACCTAGGGCAACCGTTCGGACGGTGCGCGGTCACCGTGTTTGAGTGTGCGGCGTCACGCGTGGGTGCTCGCACCATCACACGCATGCACCACGTGTGACCTTGCTGGTGGTGGTCTCATCGCTGCCCATGCTGCACGTCGGTCCGGTCGAGCTGTGCCCTGGCCTGGCATGCACACGAGTGCAACGCCGGTGCAGCCGCTGCGTGGTCGCGTGGCAAGGCATCGTCGCAATACGATTGTTGTGTGCCCCCGCTGTAGCTGCATGCGTGCGCCACCATGTCTGCTGAGCCGTGCACGGGGTCGAGCCAAGGTCGTGGCCATTGTCATCGTGTCGATGCGGCAGTCGCCCTGTCCCTGTGTCTCACCTACCGTGAGCTCGTGCCACCGCCCGCCGCGTCTGGGTCAACCGACCCTAGTCACAGGGTCACAGCGACGCCTCTCTGCTCGTCCTGCCTCACTTGCCCCTGCTAGCCGATGCCGGTGCGGCCTGCTCGGGTCCGGCCGCTCCAATTCAAGCACGTCGCGCCAAGCCCTCCTCGGTCTCGTCACTTGTGCGCACGTGCTCTTACTACTGCTATCGGTCGAAGCCGCCGTCTTAATCCACTCGAGCTCACTCATGTGCCTCTCCATGACATGACCACAGTGGGAGCATCGCGCGCTCTGCCTCTCGATTCGTTTAGCTCAGAGAGTCTCAGTTCAATTCCTCCTGTCGGGTAAGTCTTACTGAGTACAATCGAGTACTCAGGGTTTTATTCCTCATGCTGTAGGTGACCGGAGGATAGATAGATGACTTTTGTGTGTGGAAACCTCCTGGTGGGTTCAGCAAGGATTTCCTTACATTGCTGACGTAGAGTTTATTCAAATTGTCACAAAATGTTTTTGCAAAGGAAAAGACTTACAGTCTGTTATCATTCCATGTATATAAATGTTCCTCATGTTAGCGCTTAAACTTGTCGTCATATACATATCCGCTGAAAGCTCTGATAACATTATTATATTCCGCTGTTATAATCAATTGAGGTAATATTCTGCTATGGTAATTAAGTGATGTAAGAAATGGCTAAATATGTTGTAAGCTTTATTCTCTCATTTATGATCCTGGCGGAAAATTATGGATTTTCGAGTTCTCCCCTTGGGGTGTGCTCGACGGAATGGCACGATTTAGTGCACTCTCTTGGATACTTCGTGTCTAATGGAAGACAAGTACTCTTAAGAGGACATTAGATTAGGCGGTTCTGCCACATCTCTGTGGTGTGCCCCGCGTTGTCTCCATGGTCTTCATAGAAGATCGACGGACAACTTCAGCAAGTGTTTTAGGATTAGTATGGGTGTTCCCAGCGTGCAGGCCATGGTGGCCGCTGTGCGGTCATGCACCAGTGCCACCGAGGTATCTCCGTCTAGAGGTGGCCACGGATATCGTCGTTGCTGACGACGGCGACGCGACGATGACCATCCCCACCATCGACTACCGGAGGCTCCTACTGCTCGACCCGAAAGAATCTGCGTGCCTCCATGCTGCCTGCCAGGACTAGGGCTTCTTCTAGGTCGAAGGGGAGGCTTGCGGGGGACGACGGGGTGGCTCGACGAGGACGAAGGGGACGACGGGGAGGTCGATCTGCTTGTGCTTCGCCGCGGACACGGGGAGGCTCAAGCATGGCGCCGAAATCAGGAGGACGGGAGGTGAGAGGTAACGGGAATCGAGTCTTGCGCCTAGCCAAGCCTGGCCACGAGAAAACGAGATGGCAATCCATTTCTAGCTAGCCAGGCCAAGGAGTGGTCGGTGGCTGAGTTAGGCCTAGCTAAAGGGTCCATACAGGGGACCAAACAACTCTAAGGTAGCTTCCTGAAGCCTGGTCTAAGGTTGGCCACCCAATCAAATAGGCCCCTAGTGGCCTCGACGGGCTTTGTTGGGCTCCCTCATAGCCCTTGTCTGTCATTGTATCCCAATGCTTTCTTTGTGTGCTTTGCTCTTTGCTCGATGTTTTTACAACTCTTCTTCCTCCCTTCCGATGGCTTCTCTAGGGTTCAACTTTTCCTCTAGCTAAGATCAGGAAGCGATGCTTTGGCACAAGTTTGGTTTGATGGTGACCACAAATAGTGTTGGTCATGGGCCTTTCTTCCTTCCGGTTTCCTTTGGACATTGCAAATTTCTCCTTTCATAAGATTTTGTTGCTCATATCATTTAGGCTACTCTGGTTGGAGTGGCAACAACTTCAATGTCTCATTGCTCGATCATCGTGTTTTCAAGTTCTTTGCCTCCTCAAAAGAAGTAGGTTTCTTTGTCCATATTCCCCAATTTTATTCTTATGATCAATATTCTTCCACCTTTGGGGAGATGGTGGACCTAAATGGGTTCGTAAGTTTCACAATTTTCACATGAAGAAGTAGCACCATGGAAGAAAGTGGGTTCAAATCCAGTTGCAACTAAGGCTTCTTATGTTGAGGTTGTTAGGAAACCACCTCTAAGTGGTGTCAATCATGTGCCAATTGGTAAGCATCGGTCTTAACCTAACAAGACTTCAATCTTTGATCATTAGTCTTTCCAAGAGTATCCGCTTTTGAACGATTGGAAGAGCCGAGGAATTATGTTCATGCCCATCTCATTTTCATGATTCATCAAGCTCCTTCAATCATGTTCTAGAAGGTTGTTCTTCTGAGCACTGGAATGCTATCTTCTGAAATTCAAATATTGTTTCCGAGTTGTGCGTGTCGTAGAGTCTCTCGAGTGATTGGACGAGGGTCCTGAGCTCGTTGAGGATCGCTTCCATTGGAGGCGTGCGAGCGCACATGGTGGATATAGCCTCTGAGCCCTTGTCCGAATGTTGGAGTCGTGAAGGGGTTAGTCTTCTGTGGAGTTACATTAAGTTGAGAGGGTATCTAGGGTACGGGTACTCGTCACTACCACTATAAGCAATCCAAAAGATTGAATTAAAGGATCTTAAGATTAATGAAGTCATTATAGACACTTCGTTATCGATAGACCTGTGACTACCAACGAAAGAGTTCAAAAAAATATAGACACCCACGTCAGATCTAGAACTTAAGCTCAGACAAACAAATACCTAACTAGCAATTCGTAATCTAAACAGGGGCTTAATGGACGAATACTCCTTTATTGTCAAGAAAGAAAAGGATCTGGTAGAAAACATTCCTTCGAGAACATGTTTGAATCCTTTCACGTGGGCTCAATTAGATTTTAATTACTAGAGTGACTTTTAAAAAAACCCTTATCACAATATCTATATCTATATCTATATCTATATCTATATCTATATCTATATCTATATCTATATCTATATCTATATCTATATCTATATCTATATCTATATCTATATCTATATTCTATATTCTATATTATATATTCTATATTCTATATTCTATATTCTATATTCTATATTCTATATTCTATATTTCTATTTCTATATCTATATCTCTTATAAAGATAAACCCCACTAGTAAATTATTTTGCCATACACAGTGTCCACATCAGCATCCGCTATAACATTCCACTAGCACATCTAACTATCTCATCACACAAAGTGTCCACATCATCATCCACTAACACATCCAACTAATACATGCCATTATGTCTTCATTCATACTATTCACATTAGCAAACCACATCATTTACTAACATATATTTAGTTGTCCACATCAGAATGCTAAAAATCATCCACTAACATGTATTATGGTATTTAATCAATCATATTAGTAAATATAAGTAGTATAATTTTATCAGCAGCAACGCACGGGACGTTCTTCTAGTACTTTATAATTCTAAACCCCATTAGAATTCAATCTTGACATGCAAGCTATCTACCTCAGCAGTCCACTATCAAATATAGTTATAACCCACTAGCATATGTAATTATGATATACTCCCCTATCCCAAAATAAGTGTTGTTCTCACTTTCCGAGGAGTCAAACACTTTTAAGCTTGTTCGGCTGCTTGCTTTTTGCAGCAGTAGCTGGTGTTGTACAAGAGAGTAAATACTGTAGCAACTATGCGCATTGCGCTACAGTGCTGTTAAAATAGGCCGCCAATCAAGTTGTTTAACTTTGAATAAATATATACAAGAAAATATCAATAATAGTATATAATTAGTATTATTAGATGGATCTTTGATTTATTTTATAATAAATTTATTTGTATGTACAAATGTTGCTAATATTTTTTATAAAGTTAGTTAAACTTAATAGGGCATGTTTGGATGAGGATGGAGATTGCGATAGGGAGATATTGTACCATAGACATCCGTTCTTCGCGCCTTATTTAATTATAGTCATTCGTTGCTTTTCCTTTCCCTTTCCCTGTTAGTATCGAAACGGCACCGTAAAGTTTGACCGACAATTGTAGTTGTTTAGGAACCATGTAGACCGAGAAAAAAAAAATCAAAGATCAACTTACCTTACGCACCGAGGGCAACACCGTCAATTCCATCTCACGGATGTCTGGCCGAGTCCCCGAGACACACTGAAACGTCAGAGAAACACCTCGCCGACGTCACCGTCCTTCTACATTTCTACTGCGGCCGCACCACTCTCCTCCCAAGCCTCCAAGCACCGCCGTCCGTCCGTACCACTCCTCCCGCGGCCGCAGCCTACGCAATGCCGCACTACCACCACACCAATCCGTCGCATCCTCCTGCGGCGCGCAAGCTCCTCTCCTGGCGCCGCGTAGTCGCGGCCTGTGCCGCTGTCGCGGCGCTCACGCTCTTCCTGGCTGCCGCCCCGGCCACGGAGGACCCCAGCCGATGGCGCTCCTATCTCTTGGGATCCCTCCCTGGGGGGACCCGCAAGGAGACAGTGGCGGCCGCGGCCGTGGCGGGAAGCTTCGCGGGCCCCGCCGCCTCCACGTCATCGCCAGCCGAAGCGCCGCTTTCTTCCTCGGGCGAGGTGGGTGCTGATTTCCATTTACCTTGGTGCATTTGTTATAAGGAGGCATGGAAAGAAAATATCAACCTTTTAACAGCGAAATAGTGTTTGTTTACAGTGGAAATTTGGTCGAATTGGGGAAATCTGAACAACCTGCGAGGAATTTTAACTGCAAATCGACAACTATTTGATGGCAACTTTTAAAGTCTTGAGTACGATTAGGTGTGAACCCTGATACAATCGCAGTAAATGTTTAAGAGAATTTTTAGGAATTCAGACGAATCTTGATTTTGTAACAATTTATAAAACATCTGTTGTTCTCAATGTGCATGTAAATCAGGCGAATGAGATACATTTGAAACGAGTACATAAAACGAACTGATTGTTTTGCAGATTAATTTGTCAGCTAGGATTGCTCCAGCAGCAGCCCCCTCTATGTTCTTGGTCCCTTCATCTTCACCTGCAGAGAATTTTGATGATGGTTCAATGGAGGAACCCGAACATCCTGAAATAAAGGTATGGATCACTACAAAAGTTGACATATCACTGCATGGTTTCCTTTTGCATGTCATGTTATGTTTCAACTTAATGCTAGGAAGCCATGCTTTCTCAATAGCTTCTAATCAAAGGTTACTGATACTTCAGACAAATCCGCCAAAGGAATCAGCTCCTTTTCTCAAAAAAGAGGTACATATCTAACTAATCATGGGTGGGATTTTCCTGTAGCAAGTAGCAACTTACATATTTTTTTTTCTTAACCTCCTTACCTGTGAAGCCCATTTCCAGTGGTTTGCCTACAATGAGCTCTGATGCCAATGGAGAACATGTCATGGATACCAAATCTGTTCTGCCTCTAACGCCAGAGGTTGATGCTTTACCTCTTTTGGGATATGATTCCAATTCTTAATATTAGTAGTCAAAATTGTAAGAATACTTTTCTTAGCTTGACAATTTAGCAGGCGCCTCTTTGGTCAACAGCAGCTGATGAAGAGCTTATATATGCAAAGAAAGAGATCAATAATGCACCATTGACCTCAGACGACCCTGATCTATATGCACCCCTGTTCCGGAATGTGTCCATCTTTAAAAGGTAAGGAACTGACTAGGTTTCATATTGTCTCTCTTGTGATTGGTATGTTCCATAATTCTTTTCTAAAAATCAAATGCTCAATCATGTGTTTAACAATGTCCTTGTTTATCCTTCCATTCAAAAAATAGAACTAATTTGTAATTTGCTCGACACTATGATCACTTATTGGAGTAACTTCTATTTACTTATGGCATTGCCTTTTGTGTTGTACAATCCTGCCAACCAACTGTACATCGGATGATCAGTAGCACGTGAGCAGAAGTTCCTAATAAAAGGAAGCTGCAATGATAACTTAAGTTCCTAATATGACGCATTGTGTTTTCTAACTTATCACACTACCATTTGTGTGTTGGACTGTACTGTGCATTGGCTGTTTCATTTCAGTGTTGGTTTATAAAATGTGTTCAACTCATGCTTCCAGGAGTTATGAACTGATGGAGAGACTTCTTAAGGTTTTCATATATCATGATGGAGCAAAACCTATTTTCCATTCCCCAGAGTTGAAAGGTATCTATGCATCTGAGGGATGGTTTATGAGATTGATGGAGACAAACCAGAATTTTGTTGTGAGAGATCCAAACAGAGCTCATTTATTCTATCTCCCATATAGCTCTCGTCAACTGGAGCATAACCTTTATGTGCCTGGCTCAAATACAATTGAGCCACTGTCTATCTTTGTTAAAAATTACATTGACTTAATCTCGGCCAAGTACCCATATTGGAATAGGACAAAAGGAGCTGATCATTTCTTTGTTGCTTGCCATGACTGGGTATGTTTTCTCCACTGCATATTTTTCTTCCTTAAGTGACCATCATGTAAACTATGGATTTTAATCACTACCTTTTTTTACTAGTATTTTGATCAACTTTTTTTAGAAAATGTTTGATCAACTATCGAGAGAACACAGATTTAATTTGAAAAATTAATTTATGTACCTGACATTGTATCTTCTTTCAGGGCCTTACACAACCAAATTGCACGATGAATTGCGGAAGAACACTATTAAAGCTCTCTGCAATGCAGATCTCTGAAGGAATTTTATCCGTGGAAAAGATGTTTCCTTCCAGAAACATTTCTTAGATCACCAAGAAGACCTCTAAGAGATATTGGGGAAGACCAGCCGCTGAGAGAACTATCCTGGCCTTCTTTGCAGGGCAGATGCACGCGGTCGAGTTCGACCTGTACTTCTCAAGTATTGGGGAGACAAGGATGCTGATATGAGAATATATAGTAGGCTGCCACACGAATCACTAGGAAGAGAAATTATGTTCAGCATATGAAGTCAAGCAAGTACTGTATCTGTCCCATGGGGTATGAGGTAAACAGCCGAGAATAGTTGAGGCAATATATTATGAGTGTGTTCCAGTAATAATTGCCGACAATTTTGTTCTCCCATTTGATGCTGCACTCAACTGGAGTGCATTCTCTGTTGTCGTACCAGAAAGTGATGTACCTAAGCTGAAGGAGATCTTGTTGGCAATACCGAGAGTCGATACATAACCCTGCACTCAAATGTGAAAAGGGTGCAGAAGCATTTTCTGTGGCATCCAAATCCCGTCAAGTATGACATTTTCCACATGATACTACACTCAGTTTGGTTTAGCAGGGTAAATCAGATCCGTTAGAGCAGCACCTGTGGTTCACATGCCTGAATTACATATGAGGGTTGTTTGCTGACCCATTTTGGTCTGCTTTGTCTGAAGGAAGCTGCCCATGTGGTGGGATTTGGATTGTAGTCTGGTCGGCGCAGCTGTTCCTTGCTCAAAGTTCTGAATGGAGATATTGATCTGACAGGAGAACTGACAGTGTGGATAAAATACAGTTTATATAGGAGCAGGCTTAGAATTTGCGAGTTCTCATTACTGGTAACTTTCCTCATGGATAGTTTGGTGTGAGTGTTGTGACGATGTTCCTTTCTGTAAGATTGTAACTTTCGTTACTCGTTTTGACTTGGGCACGGGAAAAGATCTGGAAACATTGTAACTGGCTACAAACACAAAAGGAAAAGTTTGGTTTTGTTAGGAAGGCTATAAATATGTCACAACATATGCTCTATTTCACCTTTTATGGGGAGACTGGTGCTTTATTATTTAGGAGGGATTCCTTATGTGCCATTAAAAAAGATCGCAATGCCCTGTATGTCTCTGGAAAAGTTCAGTGGTCTTCAGCGCCACTGCTTCAACTTTTTTGTACCCTCCATGCCACTGCCGTCAGTTTGGGCTCTAACGCCGTCAAACTGCAGGTGTGAAAAGACGAAAATACCCTTAAATCTAAATGTCATTAATTTTTTTTAGCATCTTAATGACTTCAAATAAAAAAAAAACTCAAAACTAGAAAATTGTATATCTCGTCAAGATCTATAATTTTCATATAAAAATTATCTTCATTTAATTCCGCAAAAAAAAAATATGATTTTTCTAAGATATATTAATCATATCAAATCATATTTTTTTTGCGAATTAAATGAAGATATTTTTATATGAAAATTATAGATCTCGACGAGATCTATAACTTTCTAGTTTTGAGTTTTTTCATTGAAGTCGTTAAGATGCTTAAAAAAAATTAATGACATATTTAGACTTAAGGTATTTTAAATCTTTTCACATCTGCAGCTTGATTGGCGAGCCCAAAAACGGCGGCAAAGTGGTATGAGGGGCACAAAAAGTTGAAAACGATGACGGCGAAGACCGTTGAACTTTTCCAGAGACACAAAGGGCATTGCGATCTTTTTTAATGGCACACAAGAAATTCTCCCTATTATTTATCATATCCCATTCTCCCATGATCTTTGTGTCCGTTCGGTTCATGGGTTCACGCTCTGCTGCAAATTGTTTGTAAGCGTCTCATGTCTTGCTCTTCCCACTTTTGTTTGTTCCTACTATCCAAACTCAGAACATCTCTCCCGTTGTTTCTTCCTACTATCCCACCTGGGAAAAATATGTCAAACATTCAAGTCAAATGTTGTCCATGGATATCATGGGAAAAATGAAAGAGGACCAATTGATTGCCAACTTCTTAAGTTACGAACCGACTCAACATAAACAACAAAATGATCTGCATTTTTTTCATAATTTTTGTATGTCCTTCAGCAATGTGTACAATATGTAGTTGTGAGTCTAACCAAAAAGTGCAAGATTCATTGTAGTACTATAGTAGAAAAGCATGCGGGGGCATGCATGTGTCTAAAACAAATTCCTTCGTAATAGACAAATAAAAAAAAAGAATAGCCAATTCCTATATCATATAAAAGATATTCCTGATCCAAGTACATCATCTACGATGGCAGATGATGGCATGACAACATTTATCGTGAACATCATGATTCATATTTATTCGTTGTATATACCAATAAGGGTATGTTTCAAAATGCATGCTTTTTTTCTCTATTTCTGCATTTTTCCTGTGAAATTGAATTGATTCATATAAAATCATGCACAATTCCTGCAAAATTCCTGCGTTCCAAACATGCCTCAATCGTATAGGATATCACAATAGGAAAAGTTGAGGACCTCTTTGACAAGGCTTAAGCCGGCTTCCACTTCACCATTATGCACGTGTTATAGCAAAGAGTTGGTGTAGTTCTGCAAACCTATCTTCCCTGCCTTCTCCACTTTGCTAGTGTATTTTGTGAGGAGAAAGAGATAAAACTTATAGTACCTTCAAAAATGAAGCTAAAGCCGAGGAACTATGCTAAAAAATGCCCGATTATATGGGTCGGGAGAGGGGCCCGTTAGGGTCATTTTCATGGGCCGGATCAAAGATACAATGGGCCGACCCCGCACTGTCCCATCTTTTCAGCCGGAGCCGGGCAAGGCAAGGCAAGGGCAACCGAACCGACGAACCCGCCGTCTCGTTCTCCTTTGCTTGCTCTCGTCGTCAACTCCCGAACCAGGAACCCTGACCCCGACCCGAATCCTCCGAATCACCTCCCTACCTGTCAAATCCCCCAAATTCGACCGCGAATTCGGCATGTGCGACTACGGAAACCCATCACCCTGAACCTGCCGGAGATGATCGCGTCGCAGCCGCGCCGGGTCCGGCCCCTCGCCGCCGTCTCCCTGGTGCTGTTCCTCCTCCTCCTGTACAGCCGCTCCGATGGTGGCTCGCCGCGCGCCGCGCGGCTTCTGGGCTCCGGATTGCATCCGGCGCACCGTAGGTTCCTCTCCGATGCTGACCCTGCCGGCCCCGCCGCATCCAGCGCCGCGAATCCTTCGGGGTCCGCTACGCTGAATGGCGAGCAGCCGGAGCACCCTTCCGCGGCGTGCTCGGGCATCGCGCGGCACGAGGGGTTCGGGACGCAGTGCGAGTTCCTCCGGGCCCACCCGCAGTGCAGCTCCGGTGGGTTCGTCGACTACCTAGGCTTCTTCTACTGCAGATGCGAGAGGTTCAGGGTGCTGGGCTACGCGGTGCTCGGGGTATGCCTGGCCGCGCTGTTCTATATGCTGGGCAATACCGCTGCCGACTACTTCTGCTGCAGCCTTGAGAAGATGTCGGCACTGCTGCGGCTCCCACCCACCGTGGCTGGCGTGACGCTGCTCCCCTTTGGTAATGGCGCTCCCGATGTGTTTGCTAGCATCGCGGCGTTTATGGGGAGCGGTGCTGGTGATGTTGGGCTGAACAGTGTGCTCGGTGGAGCTGTATTCGTGACCTGTGTTGTGGTTGGGGCAGTGTCATTGTGCGTTGCGGAGAAGAATGTGCAGATTGATCGGAGGTGCTTTGTGAGGGATGTTGGGTTCTTTCTGGTGACTCTGCTCGCTTTGTCTGTAGTGTTGATCGTTGGGAAGGTGACTGTTTGGGGAGCTATGATGTTTGTGTCGATTTATGCAGTCTATGCATTTGTTGTGGCTGCAAATGAGGTGTTGAGGAAACATGCCAGGAGACTGAAGTTTGATGTGGTCACACCATTGCTGCCTGTGAGGGCAAGTATATTTGAACAAGGAGCAGAGGAGGATGATTCAGTGTACAGTTCACTTCTTGAGGAGGATGCAGATGGTGAGGCGGCCCAAATGAATACATCCTTGCCTCAGTGGATGTGGGCTTCTCATGTGGCCATCTACTCAAATCATGGAAATAGAGTTGGTTCGCCTGACAGCTCAAGGCCATTGTGGGGTTGGAGTGAGGGAGAAGTGGATAACTCCACGTTCAATATTTCCAGGCTGTTTTTACGTTTATGGAGCTTCCCTTGGCGATACCAAGAAGGTTGACAATTCCGATAGTGGAGGAAGACCGCTGGTCGAAAAGAATATGCTGTTGCAAGTGCTTGCTTGGCGCCTGTTCTTTTGGCATTTTATGGAGCAGTCAGGATACAGTATCCACAAAGGTTAGCATAGCAGCATATGTTATGGCTGTCATTCTGGGGATCGCACTTGCTGCCCTTGCTTTCCTGTTCACCAATAACGCGTCCTCCACGGAGATTTTTGTTCCCCCATGGGTTTTGGAGGCTTTGTGATGAGCATCATCTGGTTCTACATCATTGCTAATGAACTGGTTGCACTTTTGGTTGCTTTGGGTGTGATACTGGGAATTAATCCTTCAATACTTGGGCTAACAGTGTTAGCATGGGGGAATTCAATGGGTGACTTGATGTCAAATGTCGCTTTAGCGATGAATGGAGGGGACGGCGTGCAGATTGCCATGTCTGGATGTTATGCAGGACCTATGTTTAATACACTTGCTGGTTTGGGTATATCGATGCTGCTTGGAGCTTGGTCAACAGCACCCAATTCGTATGTTCTTCCGCAAGACTACTCTCTTATTTACACAATGGGCTTTCTTGTTGCTGGATTGATCTGGGCTCTTGTTATGCTGCCGAGAGGTGACATGCGGCCTAACAAGATACTTGGAGTTGGCCTCATTGCTCTTTACTCAATTTTTCTTTTTGTTAGTGTAAGCAATGCTGTCGGCATATTGCCACTTCCTGGCTTGAGTTAGATAATTACTTGCTTGTAAAGTTGGGATTGACATCAAACTACTTGCTCATGGCTTCCATTTTATATAAATGAAATGAAGTTATACAGTGTTGTTCTGTTCTGTACTTCTGTTCTTGTATGTCAAGTTGTGTGCACATTTTTTGGGATCAACATTTTCGGGCGAAAACACGCTTGAAATTGCGGTATTTATTTGTATGTATAAATTTATCATCATTCACAGAAATAATGTTAACACACCTTGAACTTTCTGTTACATATTTGCATTGCACACACTAAGTCTCCTTCCATCCTGTAGAGCTGCCACTTCTCAAAGTTCACAAGGTTATATGCGATCTATGCCCAGCAAGTTTTTTTGTATCTCATGTTGCCCTCACTTTTAGTTTTCAACTATTTGAAACAAGAAGTGATGTTTTTTACTCTTGAGATGAGATTTGGTCAACCAATCAAAATGTCATTTAGAGTCCAATGACGAGTCTTTGGTAGACCCATATCGGCAATGGCCCGCCACCGTCGGAGATGTGCAACCACTGTGCGATATTGGCCATGTCTGGCTCCCACCCTGGGTGGTGCGAAAACCAGAAGGTACCAAATCAGAAACACTCAGATGCTGAGCAGTAGCACTTGTTGGATCTGGATGCCCTCTGCGCCACAGCCTTGGGCATCCGTGCACGCCATGGCACCCCTCCAGGCAGAGTCCATGAACAAGCTGTACTCCTCGATGGTTTTCGTTTCCTCCCACCTTATCAAACTCGTGCACGGGCTCCTTGACACCTACCCTGGCAACCTTGTATTGCCGATAATTCTGGGAGGTCATGGATTGCTATTACAGTTTCTTGGCAATGGTGGTGTTGGATGGAAGGCCAGGAAACAAAAGGGTGGCACTTGGATGTAATGTGGGTTTGGGAAATGGAAGTGAAATGGTATAGGAAGAGGTGAGTTTGGTATATAAGACCATTTCTTTGTTTGGTATGAGATGATCAGATGAGTTCGGATAGAAAATGACTACCAAATGACCATAATACCCCTTACAGAAATAGAGAGCCAATCAAAGTAACATAACTGAGGAAAAAACAGAAAAATATTGTAATTTTATGTGTTTCTTACTCATAAATGTCCCACCTATCACCCTGGGTTTCAAATTCTGGGGCAAAACACTTGGGAAATGCTACTTTCTAAATGTGTGGCTGTTAAACGCCCTTGGCCAGCGCGGCCACCGCTGGCTGGTGGTGGCGGTAGAGGTCAGTGGTGGCGGGGCTGCTGGGGAATAAGATGAAGATGTGTTGACCAGAAAAGGAAACTTGATGGCGGGATTTTTTGTCGGCAAGCCAAAAGTTGAGTGCAAAAGCGCAACGTGATCCACGCTCAAAATCAAGCAGCTTCCAAAAAATAATTCTATTGTTTGTTGATGCCTCTGGAATTACTATTTTCAGACTCTTGCAGTTGAGTGTTGATGGAGCTGGTGGACAGAGGTCTGACATTTTGAGGGGGGATATTTGGTTCTAATAACAGCTCCTTATATATAAAAAAAATGTCTTCCTTTTAATGCAGTTTCTTGATTTGACTCTAGTCTTTTCATTTGTATTTTACTTACCTCTTCTTTTGGTGGAACGTGGACTTTGTCTTGTAGATTTCTCTGAGCAGATAATTTCCCTCATCAGCCTTGGTGATTTTCCCCATCAGTACTCATGCTATGTTCATCTTAATCTATGCATGTTCATGCTATTTCAGGTTAGCAAATGAATGGAGATATGTAATGATACGTCCTATCAGCTGTTTTAATTCATGGCTCTTGTACGTGCAGTTAATATTTTTACTAGTCTGAATTCTCTTGGGCAGGTGGTTGGCAGACAAATGGCAGGGATCCTTACGGTCAGTCATGGTTACTCATGGGAGGGTGTCACTTACTCAGGATCAGGGTCTTTAAATGTGAGCCTTTTAGCGATGTAGTTGCTAGCAGCCTAGCACAGTGTCATTTAATACTCCCTCCTAGTGTATTCCCATTTGTTTGATTCTGTAGCATATTGCCAAACTTGGGACTTCAGGGAATTTAGCCTACAACATGAATAACTTGGTTACATTAGTTGAGCTGAGTCCCCAATTGTAACCTTCACTCAACCTAGCTAGTTTGCGATGAGACTTCAATTGATAACCATCCTAAATCAATTTTTGATGTAGTGATATGAGCCAAAACAGCCTTGGCGGTGGAAGCCAAATACAGTACAACCTTATTATTTATATGAAGCTTGGGTGACTGTAAGTTCCTAGACTGAGAATTCATGCATTTGAAATTCTCTGACTATTCAGGTGGTATGGCTGTTAGATGATTATTCTTGTTGTGCAGCAATCTTGCAGGAAATCAGTTTGGTGGAAATTTACCCTACTCGATTTTGACAATGCCTAATCATGGAATTGATTTTACCTTGGAATATGTATTATCTGGAATGGTTAAATGTTTTTCTTTCTTGGCATATGCAGAAACCTTAACCATAACCAATTACAAGGATGTATTTTCTAACCTTTATAGTTTGACAGAATTGTAAGTATTCTGTGGCATTGTCAGATGGATCATTTTCCTTTGCAGGGGCCAGGGATATCTCCTTTGATTCGCTTACTGGTGATCTACCACAAAGTTTCATTGGATTGTCAAGCCTGAAATTTTTATGAGAGGATGTGTTGTTATATTTACTTTCATCTTGTAGACATTTTTTGTTTCCCTTCTGTTATATATTTGCAGAACAATCAATTATTGGTTATATCAATGTCCTAGCTAATCTCCTTAATTCTGTGCAATTCAATGGTGTTTTATTTGCATAATATTCACTTGAGAGATGCTTTCAAAGCTTTAAATTATTATGGGAACATCATCTTATACAAATTAACAAATGTTGCAGACATGAAGCGTGTCATGAGACCACCACAATAGACATAGAGCCTTTGGCTGTACCTGGCTACCTGCTACAATTAGTCTGAAACCACCCCCGGAGATAAATGCCAGAAATCATTTACAGGGAATAGTTCAATGACGGAAAGGTACGCTACATATCCTCATGTCACAATTCCTATGTATTTCTAAAGTTACATGAAAAAGGTTTCGCTTGTGTCTGTATGGTCTTTGAAACTGGGGATGATATCTTCAAGCCACCACTGGGTGATTACATGTCCGCAATAACCCTGATGTCACTTCGTGTGTATATGTATAACATTAGTGGCAATTATAAGGCACTTACTTTATTTACCCTCTCTAGGTTCTGGCCATCATGAAATTAGACAATACTTTGATACCACTCCAATCTTCTGATGACTTTGCTGAACTGATGTTGATTTTTTCCAAATTGCACCATCTGGGTCTGAATGAACTTGTGGGCAATTGTATGGAACATGGACTTCACTTCCTTGTGTAATACATTCGTGAAATACATTTATCTATCCCTCATCATCCATAAGAATTTCAAGTCATCAAACATTTTTCTGGACTCAGAATTCAGTCCACACCTTTCAGTTGCTGGACTTGCAAGCTTTATTGCTGATGCTGAATTCCAGGTGGTGGCCATGCTGAACTGTTGAGAGAAAGCAGAAGCGCTCCCTTGATGACTCGGTTTTTACAAGTAGAAAATTTGAATATTAAACATCCTAAAAGCTCACAGTATGTAGTGAACCCCAGGATGATGGAATGCGTCACACCAGGATAAGGCTACAGGTAACCTTTTCTGAACAATATTAGGCACGTAGCGACCTACGCTGCCCCTCCCAGGAACTGGAAAGGTCAATGTGGCCATCCTATCACCCTCTAATATGGTCTACTTTTGCTCATCCCCGTGCTCCCTTTGCAATGTCCAGCTCATGCAGATGCAGGTGGTTTAGTCTAACTTTCCCTGCGTCCTGGAACTGGTGCCCTTTGGTCAAGAGCTCAGAAACGCTTGATATATGTAAACTATAATGAATGCCCCCTAACACCCCAAAACTATAATGATGGGTTGCCATTTTCATCTTATTGTTGCGTTGCTTCCCGGCTATTTTCTGTGTCTAATTGGTGGAAGTGGTGAAATGTATCGTGTGTGATGAAACTATATGTGGATGTTGCACTACATGATCTTGAGGAACATTGGATCTACCACTATGGGATATAAATAAAGTAGAGTTGAAAGGTACGTACTGAATTTCGAAGTCTGGCTACTTTGATATTAAAAAAAAACGAAGTAGAAAGATTTTATCCACTCTAAATTCGGCTTATTTTGAGCGCAACATGCACTGGTACGGTACTCGTATAAATCTTTTTCTTTCTTGAACCGAGGTCGACTCCATTTCCATCACACATAACGGAAATATAGATGTTCAGCAGCCAAGGTATTCGTACAATCTTTATGCTCACCTGTATACACTATGAAATATCTTTGATGCGCACACAACGCAACAATCCGTTGTAGTCTAGCTGGTTAGGATACTCGGCTCTCACCCGAGAGACCCGGGTTCGAGTCCCGGCAACGGAAATTTTTTATGCGAACCTACGAGAAGACGCTGATTCTGTTTCATTTTCACTTTCCTCTTGTTCGGACTTTCCACAAGTCAATCGCCCTGTCTGCAGCAGTACTTTTTTTTGGTAGCTATACGCCTACGAGAAGACGCTGATTCTGTTTCATTTTCACTTTCCTTTTGTTCGGACTTTCCACAAGTCAATAATATCAAAAACTACTAAGCCAGCAGTAACGTATCTCGACCATATTACAAGAGTGGAGAACGTACTGATTAATGGGTCATCAGAAATCATGAGACTTTATTTGCCTGGTTTTATTATTATATCTGTAACATCACGATACACCAGAACGATTTTATTTAATTTGGTTTCCATCCTAGCTTACTGTAATCAACGATGAAAGGGGGAACTCACAAAACTGTCATGCCCATACCCAATACAGCTATAACTGCGTCATTAGGGAGCATACCATGCTATATAACATATTAAGGCTCATCCGTTAATTTAGACCAGCAACGAAGTAAGCTTTCCCTCGCACTCTGAAAAGAGTTCAGCAGATCAGCTCCTGCCGAGTAGGAGCGGAGAAAAGATTGGCACTTTAGCAGGCATCTCAGGAAGCCCAGAGGACCATGGAAAAAGGGCCCGCAGACCTGTTCGATCACTTCGGACTGGGGCTGGCCTCTGCGCGCTCATGCAATCTACATGTGAGGAATCTGCTCCTTCTAGGAGTCTCATCACTCCGGAAGGTTAAGCCGATCGAAGAGAACCAGAAAACTCTGCTCAGGTACGCTGTACAGGAAACCAAGCTCTGCGCCTCCAAGGTGTGGAATTGTACTCTACAAAATAAAATATGCATTCTTGTTAAGAGCAATCTTGCAACTAGACCAGATCCAATGATGGACACAACCGAAACTGCAAGTTGCATAAACAGTTCAAAATCTACTGGCAGGATCTACTCCCTCCATTCTAAATTGAAAGTTGTTTGTAAGTTGTTTTGATTTTTTAGTGATAACTAGCTTTTGTTACGCACCAAAATATACGCTATGCCTAGATACATAGAATGATTATGTATCTAAAAAAGGCAAAAACTGACTTAGAATTTGGAATGAAGGACACTGGTTTTGCTATGTAAACATTTCATGCAATTCTTCGAATTTGCACAACAATACCAGAAAAAAAAACGTGGTGTACCAGGATCACATCTTTTAGACCAATGGAAGGCACTTTTAGAATTGCTAGCCTAAGAAACAATGGGGGAAAATGGAGTCATTTGTTCCATAAAAATGATCTCAGAGACAAACTTTGCTAGATGACCTACAAATGAGCTATTCCTTTCCAAACTACTGCCACTTCTCTTATGAATTGTACTCAATATTCTCCAATGACATACAAAATTGCTCAGTCCAAAGCCCAACTTTCATAATGGCAAATCTCCAAGTTTCTTCCTTTAGTCAAGACAGTTCATAATATTCTTCAGTTAATTCAGTATTTTAAAGCATGCCTCCTGGTGACATAAATTGGTTCTAAAAAGTTTGTATCCAACTCCCTACTCTACAAGTTCCCAAAAACCAATCCAAGTAATCTCACTACAGACCAAACTGTAAGTTATGGCCTGCCAGATTGACTTAGTTATCAGTTTCAGGAATGTTGACTACAGATGAAAAGAACAACCATAGGTATTTCAGTTTACCTTGCCACTGAGCACTAACAGCTCGCCATCCACCCATCGAGGATTTTTGAATCCAGGCTGAGCTATTCTGCCCTGACCTTTATAACTGGCAATCTGGGAAAAAAACGAAAGTATAATTAGAATGAAAAAAAAAACTCCATGCGACTTTCACTTCTCAGAATATAACATCATCCAAGCATCTTTCAAACAATCAGATCTGCAGACAGAAATTACCACACCGAATTCCTCTGGATATGAGCCCCGATTCTCAAGTCGCTTGCCCTTCCCAATCTTTGCACGGAACGTTATCTGTGACAATATATGATCAGCAGAATATCATGGGAGCCTGATTGACATCATTTTTTAGAAAATAGAAGCTGCAAACCTGGCCAGCAGGGACACTCAGATCACCAGTCAACTTTACTGCTTCGACATACTCGAAAAACTCAACGTCATCAGTACTATTCCAGTGGCCGAACTTCCGACGGAGCTGCACAATTTCTGGTCCATATGGACTAAATGCTCCCACATAGAGACCTACATTAGCCCAGCAATCCAACTGTTAGATCATACAAGAAATGATCATCAACTTGACTGGGGAAACTTTACCATTAAATGGATCCGTGCTGTTAGTGTCCATAATGATCCGATTAAAAATGGTATTCTCGGTCAGCTTGACTTGGGCCTTGCTTAATGTAAGCCTTAAAAGCTCCTGAACTTCTTTATTTATCTGCAGTTACAATGCCATCTGTCAGTTAACTTGCTTGCAAGAACATGGTATGGACAACTGATGGCGAAAGACAGCATAAGAGAAGCTGCCTGGTATAAGATGAAATGGGCGACTGGAAGGTGATCTTGACAGCATAGAATCAGAAAAAAAAAGAAGTCTACGGTGGAAATAATAAGATCATGAATACCAATTGGTGCTAATAGTAATTACTAGTTCTTTTTGTTAAGGTTCCAAATCCAGAAACCATCAGGTTGTTGGAGCGTCCAGCCAGTTGCTCAAGCCACCCAGTTTCTTGACCTTTGTTTATATATATAGGGCAAAACAATAATATTTGCTTATTCTGGAAGGCATGCAGGATTACTGATATAGCTGTACATCACATAAGACTTGAAAAGTTCCTAAACAAGCACCTTTAGGATCTGGGTGCCTTTAATGCCTTACAAAATTTCAGGATTTTTGTAATTAGATTATAAGATTTCATCCAACTGTGAACAAGCATTGATGCACCATGAGTATAAATCATAGTTCACGAAATTTTCAAAGTTGCAGACATGTATAGTATAGCTAAACCCATGCCATTCCTACCTTTGAAGTACTCTTGGTTGTACCCCATAACGCCTTGGCAACATCAGACGGCATAAGCTCTGAGGCTAATTTAGCAGCCATATCTGCAACTTTCTGTTTTGCAGCCTTTGTTTCAGGCAGATCACGATCAGAATCTTTTCCAGGAATGTACAGTTCAAAGGAGTCTTTTTCCATGTCATTTATTTCAGCTGGAACTCGAACATATGATTTTGCTCCAGCATCTTCTTTATTGTGAACCACTCCACTAATAAAAAGCTTCACTTCCGTACTTTTACTTTCTTCATCCATATCTTCTTCTGGAACATCTTCCTCCTGCTCAAGTTCCTCAGTGGTTGGCTCTTCCAATGAGCTTTCTGGAGTACTCTTCACATCATCTTGCACTAATTCTTCGGACGAATTTGCAGCCAATTCAGTTTCCTCAGCCACATCAACATTTATCACCTGAACTTTGAATTCTGGAATTCGAGACTTAAAAAAATTCAAAACACTTTTTAATCCTTCGACACTACTATCCTTGCTGCTACCAACATCTTGCTCTTTCTCTTCAGCATCCTCATTTCCTTTTACTGGAGTATCCGTGTTTGCCTCCTCTGTAATACTATCAGATATAGCACTACTTTCTGATGAACTTTCATTCTCTACCTTTGTTGGGCTTTCTGTTATTGTTGATGATATGGATGATGCACCTGAAGTTCCTTTTGTTGGTCGCAAAGTGTACCACCTGTCTAATTTTTCATAAATACAAATATCAAATCTGTGCACAACAGAGGTTTCCTTCTACTTTTCTTAACTGCATAAAAATTATGATAAAGATGAAATCGCTTGATCAGTGCACCTTCATTGTATATGTCTCGTCATCTTCTCTGACAAGGAAAATTTCAAATAATGGAGTCCCTGAAGATGCAGTGACCAATTGCCTACACAAAAACAAGTATTTGGTAAGTTGGAACTGTACAATATATTAGACGCTTGTCTGATGTAGACTTTTAAGATTAAGTTACAAACTGAGAGAGACGCACCTTGGGCTGTAGCTCTTGGCCACATATCTCCCGACACCAGGGCTTATTCTTACGATTCTCCCAATGGAATCATCAGTGTCCTTAGCATATCCCACCCACCAACCTACCTGAAATGGAAATGGTTAGAATCCAGAGCTTTTCCTTATGAAAATGGATGGTTTTGGCTGGTGATACCTGTTTCTTTAAATAATCAAAGGTCAAGGAGCAATATCATCTATCATGGGTCATGCCTTTTTATTAGGTCCATTACCATGTTAGCATAAGATTAGCGATTTGCCATATAAACAGTTTGGTTAGGATGGGATGTGCAATAAGTGACTTTAAAAGGCAAATCATTCTGCCCCTGAATGCATATGGCGCAATCAAAAGGTACGGAGAAAAAGTAATCAGTAATGGATTGGCAATTACCAAGCTGGTCCCAGCAAGCCTTGTCAACCTGGACGCGTCCTGGTACCGCTGCTCCTCTATAGCACTCTGCGAGAATTTAGAAGGACAAGAGCAACCAAACAGAACAAATGCTGTAGTTAGAAGATCGTAATCCAAATAGGTGGGGAAAGATGAACATCTCAATTAAAGTAATGGAACAGAATGTCAGGCAGCACAAAGCAGCTCCGGACCTTGAGCTCGGCCATGACGTGGGCTACGGCATCGTTTCCGGTGGCCTCTATGATGTCTCTCTTGAGTTTGGCGGCCTCCGCGAAATCCTCGTTCTCCACCGCCTCCTCCAGCTGGAACTGCGCGGTCGGAGAAGAAGGAGCGATTCATCAGATTGGTTCGATTAGAGGTTACAAGACGATGAAATGGCGATTACCTGAAGGAGGGACGCGTAGCTCTCGGCCTGGCCGACCTCGTCAAAGTGGCGGCTCCATCGGGTCCAGTCCCAGGTGGAGGGCGACGATGCCGAGGAGGCGGCGGCGGCGCAGAAGCAGCAGCCGGAGGCGCGGCGGGCGGGGGTGGCCGATGGCGGGCGCGCGGCAGAGGGCGGCGAGCGGCGGGTCGGGACCGTGTTGAGGGGCGGGCGCGCCGCCGACGGCGTGGCGCACGCGGTGGCCGCGGGGGACATGGCGCTGGGAGGGGGGGACGGTGGGTCGGCCGTGCGTGCGGCCTGCGGGGCGGGCGCCGGGCGTGGGGCACAGCGGGCAGAGAGGGCTGGAGCCTGGAAGGCACGCGGTTCAGATAAATGAGATAAGGAGGACGGGAGTTGATTGGGATTTGGGAATGCCGAAGTGGCGACTGGCGAGCGAGGGGCGAGGTGGGGCCCAGCCCATATATGCGTTGTTGGCGTGTTGTTGTGTTTCTGTGCTCGCTCAAGGTCTCACCCACACACACTACTGAACAGGGCCGACACTGGCTTCTCTCTTTTTTGAGACATTTTCACGTGCCATTATAAAAGTTTGTAATTTTTTTTTGTGTCCCTAAAAAAATTTAGCGGTCTTCAGCGCCACTACTTGACTTTTTCCTTGTTACTTCCGTCAGATTCAGGCTCTACGTTGTTATCAAGCTGCAGTGTGAAAAAGACGAAAATACCCTTCAGGTTCAAATATGTTATTAATTTTTTGAGCACCTTATTGACTTCAAATGAAAAACTCAAAACTAAAAGTTGTAGATCTCGTCGAGATCTATAATTTTCTTATAAAATCTATTTTATTTAATTCCATAAAAAATATGATGATTTTTCTAAGATATATTAATCATATCAAATCATATTTTTTTTGAATTAAATGAAAATATTTTATATGAAAATTATAGATCTCGACGAGATCTACAACTTTTTAGTTTTGAGTTTTTTCATTTGAAATCGTTAAGATGCTTAAAAAAATTAATAATATATTTGAACTTAAGGGCATTTTCGTCTTTTCACACTGCTGAGCTTGACGGCAAGTAGAGCCTCGAATCGACGGAAGTGGTATGGAGGACCCGAAAAAATTGGAGTAGTGACGCTGAAGACCGCTGAATTTTTCCAGAGGCACACAGAGATTGCGATCTTTTATAATGACACACAGTAAAGAAGTCTCCTCTTTTTTCCCTTTTCGTTATCGACCATCGATGATGGACGGTTTCTCTTTTTTTTCACCTTCTATTCTATAGATAGCTGCAATTGTTGTCCACAGATTTCATGGGAAATTAAAAAAAAACTTTTGTACATTGGGTAATTGGGTTTAACGAGTTGTACACTTGAGACGTAATACAAGGGATTGGGAATTAATCGCCTTCTAATGTTTGAAAAATCCTCTTTGGAAGTAGTATAATTGTTTCCCTGCTACTTTGTAAAAAAGAAACAGTACGCCTATCCTAGCAAGTTCAACTACCCGCTAATCGTCGAGCTATAATGAAATCATCGTGAACTTTACTGCTGCCTGGGCGTACAGGAAACCCTCATCCGACTGCACACTCCATTTTAGGAAAGAAATTTTACTACTGTTTCCAAAAGGGAAACAGCACGGGCGAAAGGGATTTGTCCGTAGCGTCTTCGCGTGTGCCTCCACGTTCAAGCCGACCGCATTTCGCCAAGGCGAGGACGAGCCGAGTCCACCTGCTGCACCCCATCTCTCTCTTTCTCTCTTTTCTCCCTCTGTTGCCGCCGTCGAGTCGCGCCATCAATTGACCACCGCGTGATCACCTCCATTCAATTCAGCGCATCCACGTCTTCACCATCATGTCCTCTCGCTGCCCGACCCTACCCAGTCTTGAACCGTGCACGGCCAAACTCCAATTTTAGAGTTTCTCCGCCGCCGTGTCGATAAGGCCGCGTCCGGCCGTGGACGAGAGCAGCCCTCCTACCGTCCCTCTCGAACCAATTCACCTGCACCACTAGCATCGCCTTGCCTCCCTCTCCACCTTGCGCATGCCAGCGGAACCGCTACCGCCTCCCCGTCGTCGTAAGACGCGACCGTACCACCGCGGTGCGCCGCCGCATGACTCGGCCACACATGGCCAGCCCTCTTCCGTCATCCACTGTCCCAACTGTCACCTCGGCCTAGACCAGGGTAGCCTCCTTATGCTCATGCGCTAACCAATTAGGCATGTAGCTACCCAGCTCACCAGAACAGTGCCGCGCGCCGCTGCAGCCTTCCCCAGCCAGTCGTGTTACCCCGCACCGCCGCTTAGCGTAGACACTTGGGTCGAAGATGGTGACCAGCCCGTTAGGTGGTCTGTCGCAAATCCCTAGTGGCCGGCGCAGCCGCACTGTGTCACCGGCTGCCGCGCCGTCGTGCGCTGGGTCGCCGGAGGTGCGCGCTAGTGAATTAGGGAAAGTCCAGGGGGTTAAGTGAGAAAGCTTGAGAGGGGGGAATAGTGTTAGGACTTAGTTGTGATTCGGGAGAAGTGCGAGGTCTATTTTGCAAAAATGCCAGCACACGTGGGATTTCCCCGGTGCGGGCCATCGCGCGCGCGGGATGTGTCGCGTGGGCCCATGTGTGGACCGCGCGGGAGAATTCATTTTTTTCATAAAGAATTAGAAATAGTTTTCTAATTTAATTTTTGAGCTGATCTTTGGTAAATCATATAAAATCATGTAGGTGTCCAATAATTATAAAACAAATTTTGTTAGGTTTCTAAAATTGTGCTCTATCTATTAGTGTATTTAGTTCATATATATACATGCTGATACCAGGTGCTATTAAATCATTTGAGAGTGTTTAATATTATTAGGTTAAATATTATAGGAATTTTTGTGCTAAATGGGTGAGAGCTTTAGTCCTGAAATTTTTATAATAGCTTCATTGTATTATTATGTGTACACTGTAATTTTTGTAGCCTTAGAATAGACTAAGCATTAGGGTAGTTGTCGGTGCGGGACCCATGGGATACCCCGCAAGGAAGGGAGAAGATCTAGTCTAACTGGGATTCTTCCCATGTAATCTTAGTAGTAGTATTATTCTGTAATCATATTAGGAACTCTTATTGTAAACCGGCTAGGATTCTGACCTCCTGACTATATAAAGGAGGGCAGGGTTCCTAGAGACGGGACTTACGACACAATAATTGATAATCAATCCAACGCAAAGGCTAACGTCGACTGGACGTAGGGCTATTACTTGATCAACGATCGAGGGTTCGAACCAGGATAAATCGACTGTCTCTTGCGTTAACCATCGAGTTCCACATACACTGAAGCCCGAACATACTGCCCCAGGTAGCCCTGTGGCAGGCTATCGGTGGTCAAACATCGACAGCTGGTGCGCCTGGCAGGGGCTTTCGATGAATTTGCATCCGAGAGCTCGACGGACCTCGACAACATGATCTTCTCAACGGGATCAACCTTCATTTTTAGTTCATGAATCTACGAGGCAGGCGATGATGGCAAGCTCCAAAGTCGTCTCCTCGAAGATTTGGTTCACCATGAAGACTTTTCTATTTCAGCGACTACGACAAATCAACTCACCAGAAGATTCGCGCAGCTCGTGATGTCTAAACCAACTCAGATTTCGCGGCATTGCACATCCGACTCGAACTCAGGCTCCGCATTCGAGATGGAGTCTTACCCGAGTTCTTTCGAAAAACCGAGTTCTTTTCCGGTGGGGCTCCAGAACACGGCCTCGACATATCAAAAATACAACTCAGAGTACACTCAGAGTCCTTTCAAGAAGTCGGGTCTTTTTTCGTTCGGACTCCACAACATGGCTAAGTCTTATCAGGCACGGCTCGAAGAATCCCTCGATCCGGTGCTTAGAATGCCACTGAAAGGAGCTCAGAAAGGTCTCGTACTAACTATAACATCTCAAGACGGCATCATCCACTGGCCAGGTTCTATTCCTGAGGATAGCGATACCCGACTAGTCGGCACTACGACAACAATAATTCTACCCTACCAAGAAGGAGACTTGATCTACGACCTCGAAGCCTCTACGAAAGTTATCAACTACTTCGATAGTGTGGAAACCGACGCCGATAGCGGAACAATTCACGCACGAGAAGTATTCATGGTTCGCCGTCCTCGATCACCATTGGTCTCCCTAGAAGCACCCGACGTCAGGTCATCGGATGAATCTGAGTCCAACATATCACCCTTTACCCAGGGGCACGATAGTGAGACCGAGAATCAAAAGCAAGCCAGAAAAAGAAAAAATAAGTTAAAACAAGGACTCCAACACCGTGCTAGGCAACGCAAGGATGCTTGGATCAGATATGAGTCAGATCTGGCCGAGTACAATAGAAGAAAATCAGAACAAGAAGTCGAAGAAAGACGCACGGCGAATACACCCTATGATAAGATCCGAGAAGCACTAGAAGAACTCAGAGCGACCTCACATCCTAGTGAAAAACAAGAACAGCTCTGGGACTTTCTTCGGTCAACAGTCCTAAGGACGCACGACAGAAGGACCCGCTCAAGACTACCTGCTAGGTCAACATCTCATGAGCAGGAAGATCAAAATCAAAGGAAGTCCGCTTTCGAGAGACTTAGACCAAGTGGAAGTCACAACAGAGAAAGTAGAAGGGACCATAGTCAAAACAACCGAGTCGAACAACCAAGAAAGGTCAGAAGCAAAGCACCTATTCAGACAGCCACGCAGAACTACTCTCACCAAAATAACAGTTGGCAAGAAGGGGGTGCTGAATCAGAATACACAGAAGCCAGAACGCATGATAGATTCCCCTATTTTGCAAACAGACTTGCTTCAATACGACTACCTCACAAGTTCAAGCCGTCCAACCACTCTAAGTATGATGGCAAGACCGAACCAAGGCAATGTCTCAAGATATACTCGCAGTCGATTGAACTGGCCGGAGGAAACGATGATATCAAAACCTTGTTCTTTCCCATGGCCCTTGAAACCATGCCCCTTCAATGGTTTGACAAATTGAATCCAGGATCAATCAGAAATTGGGAGGACTTACAAAGAGCTTTCTGTGAAAATTTTGCAGGTATCATTACACACCCAACACCCACGTAGAGTTAAAAGGACTCAAGCAGAAAGAAGGTGAAAGTCTCAGAAATTACTATCGACGATTCGGCGAACTACGTGCTCAAGTACATGACATCACCGAACGAGAAGTAATCGAAGCTCTCTCACGAAATCATGGCCAGGTGGCAATTTCAGGACTTCTGCAAAGAAAACCCAA